TTGAGCAACGCAGAAAAGCGCTACTGCTGCCTTCCCTATCATTCTCCCTAACAGGACAGCTGTTTTCATTATGTTTTACAGCCTGGGTTGTTTTGCAGATTTGTGTACTGCCTGTGAGCACATTGGCTCGTTTATTGTGACTTGATCCTGTAAAGAAATAGGGAGAGACAAGATTTCTTAGAGTCTTTGATTTAAAAGATAGGGGGATTCTCTTTGAGCTGAAGGGATTTCAAAGAAAGGATAAAAACTGACAAGCATCTCCCCCTCCAGGCTTTGGAAAGTAGCAAACATGATTTAGCAGCACCAATTTTTCTGTTTACAGCCATGTGTGAATCCAAAGGTTTTCCCTAAGGGAGTTAGGTAATCTGTACGTGGCTGGTACCTGGGAAGGGTCGTGTTGTCAAAAGGAGATGCTAGATTGTGATCTGTGGAATGAGCCTTGATGAAGACTCCCCCGTGGCCTCGCGAGCCGCCTGCCGCCTTGCTTACCCCATCCTGAAGCAGACAAGGAGAAACCAATCCTGTTTGGAGCCCAGGGAAGCTGCAGCTTGCCACCTACGTGCCTTTAGACTCTCTTGGGGGCCCTGAGGGCTGCTGATCCTCTGGAGATTTTGCTAATATCTAAGAGTAGCTATCAAACTGAAGTGTCACAGACATTGTCATGTATGTCAGCCTGGCATGTGGAGCAGAGGGCGCATCTTCCCTGTACCAGTGTGATAGAGTGTGGGCAACCAAAACCAGGATGCCTGAACTCAGACTAAAGGGGCCAAGAGAAGGAAATTAGCTTGTTTGAGGTTGGTGATTCGAACCAAGCAGTGGCCAAGGGCTCACCTCAATGCTTTTGGCACTCAGGAGAGAGAAGGGGCAACGCCTTAGTCCAAAGCCAACTGGAGATGCCAAACAAAAGCTTGCTTAGGCTCCAGTGGTGAATTGCTTCATGGGAACGTGCTGTTCAGATGCTTTATTGAATTTTCAAGGAGCAGTTTTTCACTGGGGCTGAAATACGAGAGCGAACAGAGTGTTCCAAGTCACTAAAAGTGAACAGAGCAACAGCTGTACAGGTTTGTGAGTGGCAAAAAAGGCTTATTTAATAATGGAGAAAAGGCCGGAACATAGCCCAAGGTATCAAGATGGAATTAACCCAATTAACAAAATAAAACACAGGCTTAATAAGGAATACTAATTGTAGCTGTCCAGTAGGTTGTGTGATACGGGTTATTTTTCTTAAGTTTCAAGAGGCTTGCAATATTGATCCCTCAAGGGCCTGAGATGTTAAATATACACTTCCCCGGTGAGTAAAGCAGGTTGTTAATTAATTTTGTCTTGTCAGACCTAGTTACTGAGCCTTTGGGTCTTACATGAAGTAGATGATTCTGTAATAAATTTTGTATTGCCTTTAGGTATATGTCTTCTTCTCTAGGTGGTCTGTATTTCATTTTATCTCTATGTACTAAATTTCTGGCTGTATGAGCAGAAAGACTGAGCCTGTTCTTGTTTTAAAGCAAGTTGCAAATACTTCTACAATTAAAGACTTGTTATCATGTTGGATGAAAGCTATAGCAGGCTGACACTGCAAGAGATGGGTGAGTTTGGGTTGAACATGGGAACCTCCCGGGTTGTGGCACCTTCTGTAAGTAGCAGGTGAAGCCTCTGAAGCACTGGGGGTTTGTGGATAATAAGTGCTTTTTCTAATGTCAGTGGCTACTGCAAGAAGCACTGATGCTGAAGCAGACACAAAATGTTATTTTGTCGTGGCTGGGACACCTGCTCAGCTCTGGCCATTTCTCTTCTGAGATGTGCTGGCTCTGCAGAACTCTCTTAAGTGTTTTCTGGCCCATCCGAGAGCAGAAGGTAGAAGGACACATTGTCCTCTTCTGGACATAACATCTCACAGATTGCTTTGGAATAAATGGCTAGGGCTTGGATTGAAGAATCTGGCCACTGTGAAGGGGGATGGGAAACAAAGAACTAAACAAATTCAGAGATAAAAAATTCTCATTTAACATCAGACCATGATATAGTTGAAGTAGAAGGTTAAAAGCTCTGTTGTGTCAGAAAACAGTATGTGATGTGGTCATTAAACTTCAGATTCCAGCATCGTGCTTTTACAGGATACATGCAGAGCTGTAGGCAATTCCAGCTTTGTCTTTGTGCTGAACACTTAGTACGTGGGAGACCTCTGCAGCATAGTTTTGTTAGTTCCCTCCATGTCCTGCTGGAAAGTGAGTTTGAGATGAGCCATTGAAAGAGTCAGGTTAAACAAAATGTCTCTGGGATTAATATGAATTCATAATCCTACTAAAGGAAGCTCTGAAATGGGGAACAATATCCCAGTAATTTCACTTTGATCCTCTTCACTGAGATGTATGTGGTATGAATATGAGGTGCAAAAGCAACATAGCAGGACTTTAAATCCTCTCAGCATCAGGATTAACATGACCAGTTCTCAGTCTGGCTCCTTTCAAAAAGTGGTTTCTTCAATTCTTTTAATTTCATCTTGGAGTAGCTTGAGGCGGTGTTTATGGTGGTTTTATTTTACATAGCAGTAGTTTTGGCCCAGGTATGTCACAGTGATTTGTTAAATTTTTCTAAACTTGTCCTGACACTGGAGTTTGGTCATGAGCTTGACCTGCATGGAAACGTGTGAGCATGTTAGGAACTGGGGACACATACAGTCCCTGCTCCATTGCTGCAGTATTACCCCGGTGCTGTCTCTGCTGCCGTGATGCTAAGGGCCATGGGAGCTTGCACCTGCTTCAGAGCCTTCAGGCACAGCCATGTGTCACACATCTGACAGGCATGCACTGTGTTTCTCACAGACCTGTTTTGCCCACTGTTCCACTTGTTTCATTGTTTGGGGTTTTTTTCTCTTGCCACATTTTTCCTGTCTTTTTTTTCCCTTTCTTGCTCACACACGTGCACAAAGTGTATTTTATTTTTCATCTTGCCCTTTCTGTTTTGTCTCCCTCCAGATTTTCTTTATTTATATCTTATATTAATTCTAATCCCCTTCCCTGGAAGTCAGGCTGCAGGGAGGAGTTTTCGGTATCACTGCTTTGAAACAAACCTGTTGGAATTTGTAATGGACCATGAGATGCTAGCAGAGCAATGCAGGAGCGTATCACTGACATACTTGAAATTCAAGCAAGTAGAAGCAATCTTTAGGAGGTTAGTGAAAAAAACAGGGTTTTTGCTAAAGCAAGGTAGACAACATAGAGTCATCTTGGGGTTTTTTTGTTCTTTAGAAAAGATTAAATGGAAGATCTTTATCTTCCTCTTAATAGCTAGATCACAAACTAATCTCTTCTGTTGATTTCTTCCACACAAACTAAACAAAACACATAAGCAAGATTGCTGAAGGTAGAGAAAAAGCTAGGGTTGTGAAGCATATTGAAACCAAGAAGAATCATTCACTTTCCTCTCAAATGCAGCATTAGCAATAGAGCTCTAAATCAATGAAAGGTCTAAAATTAGATTGTATTCCTGAGATCAGATGTGAATCACAAGTTAATCATATTTTCTTTTATTATCACTGTCTTTACCCTTTTATTTTATCCTGAGAAATTAGGTTTCTGACTTGAAAACAGAGTGAACTGTGAAGGTATGAAACCCTTCTGGGTTAGACCATACCAGATCACCTGTGGATGGCCTCCCAAAAATCTTTTGATTTGGAGGTTCATATTGCATCCAAAACTGAGCTCAAGTGATTTATCAGCTGTCTCTCCCCCAACCCTCTGATGTTTCAAGTAGCTGTTTTCTTAAATTAATGAGAAAATATTACTGCTAAAGCTTGCTAAATAAGGTTTAAAACCCACTCTGGAAGTGACAGGGTAGGACAGCGAACAATTACCTCTTGACTGGCACGAAGCTCAGGGAACTGTATTCTCCACTGCTATATTTTTAGCTGAAACTGTGATGAAATGCACCCATGTCTGAAGGCAGAGGTACAAGGTGACCTGCAAGCACAGTGTGTGAGTGAGGCATGTAAGCATGTAGATGATGTGTACCTGTTCATACGAAATGGCAGTTCATATGAAAGTGGCACCAACTTTAGTCCCAGATTGTGTGCATGATACTGCAGGAACATGATTGTATACTTGAGAGATGAAGTTGGCATTGTGCCTGTGTGTGTTTCTGGGAGAGGTGTATCTTGGTGGATGTGCTTCTGGCTGGTTGTAGTTGAAGAATGATGCTGACCTGAATCTGTGGATGCAACAAACGCTATGGACGGTGCAGGTATAACAAATAAATGGTTTGCTTATAGGATAAAGATTTACATGAACAAAACCGATGGCATTGCAGGAGGGGAACCTGCAGCGCCCCTTGCAGAGAGTGTGCACACTCAGCAGGAAAGTCCTCAAAGATGTCACTGTCTGACAGACCTTGGACTGTTCTCCCTGCCACTAATCACGTTCCAGTATCTGTGCACTTGAAGGGAAGACTGGGTATGGCAGCAGAGTGGTGAGCAGCACTCATGCCAGGAACATAACCCCCCTTATGAATGAAGGTTCGTGTCATCACAGAGCAGCATGTTGGTGCAGCACACTTGTGTGGCAAAGTACATGAGGGTGGGTAGCACGTGACGCCTCAAGTCTCGTGTTTGTGATCAGAGGGAGACAGGTGTATGCATAAAGGCTCCTCCACCTTTCCTCCGTGCAACCACAGCACTTGCCAAGACGTAATTAGTGGGGCTCTCGTGTTTCAGGGCAGACCATTGAGCAGCTGCTGAAGTGCCAGCTCAGTTAGTAGCCTTGAAAACAAAAAATCCCTTGTTTCTCATCACCACTGTGAAATACTGCCTTCCTGAACCTTGGGTTTGGCCCTGCAGCTTTCAGGATAGACAAAATGTGAGATTTTTGCCCATGATGTATTCTTCTAGGTCTGTTTAATATCCGTTATCAATTTAATGTGCTGCTTTAATGAGATTTTGCTTTTTCCATCTCCTGTGTACAGCTGATTACATAGTATATGTGGTTGGTGTTTGTTTGCTTTTTTTAAAGGAAACTACAAGCGAAGAAGTTGAATGTTTGCTTCAGCTGAAAAGACTGTTTCTCAAGTCCTAGTGGGAAAAGGTGAAAAAGAGAACTGGAGGATGTTGCTAGTAGGTATGTACATGGCAGGAAGCTATGACTAGCAGTGTGATTGTCAACAGGAAACAAAAAGTCGCAGCCGATGTGACACTGCCATACTTTCTGTGTTGTATTGCCTGCTGGACTTTGTGGCCTGGGGAGCCATGCATGTCTACCTGAGATATTCGCCTGTCCATTCATCTGCTGGAGTTTGAATTATTCTGCATCTGGTTAATCAACTTTGCAGCAGTTGGAAAGCTCTGGGTTTTTTTCTTGACAACTGCTACTGTAAAGATCTTGAACAGCTATGGGGAGAAAAGGGTACGTGTGAGCAACCTTCACCGGCTGGCAGCTGAGCGTTCTTCGAGACCCCAGGAGGCTTTGAGGTGTCTTGGCTGTTCAGTGCTCTGCAGATATGAACGCTGAGCTTTTCTGGCACGTTCTTACATTGGCCTGGTCATTCTCACCATGCTAGTACATGGGAAAGAAGACTTCCTCTCAGACGTAGCTTACATCATCCTGGAACTGGTCATTGCAGTGCTGGCCATCCTGGGGAACATCCTGGTCTGCTGGGCAGTCTATCTGAATAGCAACTTGCAGAACGTCACCAACTATTTTGTGGTGTCCCTGGCTGCTGCTGACATTGCCGTGGGCGTGCTGGCAATCCCCTTTGCCATCACCATCAGCACTGGCTTCTGTGCCTTCTTCTATGGCTGTCTTTTCATTGCCTGCTTCGTCCTGGTCTTGACTCAGAGTTCGATCTTCAGCCTCCTTGCTATTGCCATTGACAGAATCATTGCGATCCGCATACCCCTCAGGTAAGCACGTGTTGGGCTGGGGAGGTGGAGGGGGCTAGGTTGGTGAGGGATGAACGTCAGTAAAAACAACAGATCTGGAGATGAAACGAGGAAGGAAAAGTGAAATGAGGAGCAGCACTTCTTCCCTTGTAATTTGAAAAAAAACTTTTCTAGGTCTTGAAGGCTGCCTTGGCTGCTGGATATTCTGGTTGCTTCTTCTTCCAGTTCTTCTCTGTCCTCATATGGTGTGTGCCTATGGCATCGCAACGGCGCTGCCTGGGAGCTGCCGCTCCTTATTTAGACAGGATCATGCAGTAACCTCAATAACCTGTGCTCTGAGCTGCAGCCAACAGCACCAGAAGGATCGCTGTGGGAAAGTGGAGCTAAAGCAACACATGGTGGAGGGTAGAAAGGGGGTGAGGTCAACTTGTTTCCTTCCCCATGGGGAGAATGGGGGACTCTGCAGCTGTAGCAGCGGGGTTGTGGAGAGTCTGGATGGGGGTTTTCTCTTGGGGGTCCATTGAATGGGAAAGGAGGAGAAGCAGCAGGCTGTGAAGAAATGGGCCTTAGGAAGATTTGGACTAGCTTAGGCACTGCCTCTGAAATCAAACTATGTATTAGGTCAAGGCAGAGGCTTGTCTTAACCCAGACCTGCAGAAGGTTGTACTGTGGTCTCTACTCTGGAGTTTAAAGAAAGAAAAGGGTGTTTCAATATTAGACCTTGAAAGCTAAATATGACTAGCTGCTACTTTCTGTGTAACCAGGGAGGCTAATGTAGGATGAGGGAAAGTTTCGCCACATGCAGAGGGGCTGCTACTCAGTTCAGTTTTCCAGAAGCACATTGTTGTGATGGGATATATCTGACCATGGGCAAGAAGCAGCATTGTGTTTTGTGGGCTGGGTTTGAATGCGGTGTGACAATGCTTCCAAGTCATTCAGTAAGCTCAAAAGATGTAGAGGAAGCCCCGGGAGAGGCCGGTGCAGGCAAAGTGTAGGAGTCTCCTTCCTTCCCGTCTTGTCCTGAGGAGGATGCAGCACACTCTCAGGAATGGAGAGACTTGCTTCCTATCCTGAACAACAAATGTGGCTGCAAAAATGGAACAAATTTCTGATTGTTGTGCTCTCACGTTTGAGTTTTGGACATCCTTACTCCTGTTGAGTTTCAATTACTTGTGTTGACCTGTGCAATTTAGTTTTGTCTCTTGTGAATACTTTGATCATCCAGCATGTATATTGATTAACACAAACCTCCCATTCAAAAATAGAAAGCATTCTTTTCCCTAGAGCTTCGGAGATTACCTTTCCATGTGGACCAGTGCAGCACAGTCTTTCCTGAAGCCTTGCCTCAGCAAGCCTGTGCTGCTATAACATTACCATTAATTGTTGGTTTCCAAACCTGTAGTGATACCTGTTACAGCTTCTACTTTTGGTGTAGTTGTAAGGAATAACTATTCCATTCAATTGCAGAGAAAGCTATATCAATATTGGTTACCTATAAATTACACTGTCTCCACTTTTCTACAGTTCTACATATAGATGGTTTCAGTTTAAAAAACAAAATAATGATAAATGGTACAAAGAAACATATGTAGAGTAGCCCTTGGAAGCTTGCCTCTGAAATTATTTTGAGAAGGGCTAATGTCTTTAATTCATCTCTCATGAGCTAACTCTGACGACTTTTGCTGACAGTTTAAGCACTCTTATTGCTAGAGGATGACTTGCCAGGAAAAGGATTTTTAAAATCTGGATTTCTGCCCATTTTTGGGGGTATCACTATAACTATATTGTCATGAAAATTTAATTTCCTGGAATAGCCAAGGTAGTAAAGAGTCTTCTAGAAAAATCAGGCATCATCGGTGCTGGGCATGGTACCGGTTTCACGATTTTGTTTTTGAAAAAACAGAAAACACCTTCTTGTGCCTCAGAAACAGTGGAGTTGACTGGATGCAGAAACCTGCAGGTAGATCCATGGGTTCCTGCCCCTCCTTGTCCTCTGCTAATTTGTCCTTCTACAGTAGGAGTGAAGAACTTGTCAATTCTGTTTCCCCTTTAAGAATTTATGGATGAATAAATCTTAGATTTATAGCTTCAGACATGCTGAGAAAGTGAAAGCTGATTAGCTGAAGAGGGAAATGTGATATGATTCAGACTGCTCGCATCCTCATCTTTTTCTAATATCTGGTTGTCTCAAAAATGCGTCAAACCATTAGAAGGAAAGTTCTGCCACTAAAGATGCAGCATTTTCACCCCATCCCTTAATACCTAGGAAAGTCTTTTCTCTCCTCCTCAGAGGACAAAAAAAAAGGTAACACTAGACATTCCTGGTATTCATTAGATGAATGCTCTTAAAAAAATAATAAATCAGACTTCCTTCACTCTAGCAAAACCAAAACGGGTCAAACCTAATTTTGATTCTTCTTTTTCTTTTTAACTGTTTCATGTCTGATATGTCCTAAGGAAGATAACCACATATTTCAGTGAATACATGTGTGGATGAATATTCCCACACAAATAAACTGTCAGTATTACGGAGGCAGAAGAGTGGTATTTCTGATATTGCTTGATTTTGGACACCTCAGTACATAATTAGAGTTACCTTTGGATTGATTTTTCTGTGGATAAAAGACCCTCCCTCTGAAACATTGCAGTGAGGAAAAGATATCTGCAGGTAAAATTTTAAAATACATAAAAACTAATTTGTGAACATCTTATGAGCTCTACCTTTCAAATGATTAAAACATTGTGTAGAATTTGATAAACTTTCCAAAAGTTTTCAAACACTTTGTCGAATTCTGTCAGGTTTTATACAAATGTAACACTCTGCCAGTGGCAATAAAGCACTCCCAAAGAAGTGAGTCTGAGCCATTGTTCAATCTAGGATAAAATCCAAACTGTGTCTCTAACATGGCAGGTACCTGAAAACCTGTGCTCACTGATATAAAACCTCCAGGCGTTCTAAACAAAACTGGCTGCAAGTCTGAGCTCCAGGATGAAGTCATGGGCCAAGAACAATTGCCGCTTTCCCGTCTCTTTGGTGCCAGCAAATGCTCCGTGGGCACAGGGCCCAGCCACGTGTTCCTGTGCAGGCGTTTTGGTAAAGATACTCCCATGGTGAGAGCTCCCATGGTAGCTCCGATGCATGGGAAAGAGGATAAATTTTTCTTCCTGCAAACAAATGGAAAAGTTTTCTCGGATTATTGCTTGCTCTGTCTGCTGGATTCAGATATTCACCTGTGGCATAAATACTAACGCAGGTCATAGAGTGCCAACTACAGTAACCTGCTGATGTGCAGACCTTTTCCTCTGATGAGAGTTGCCTTGAAGATGACTGCCTAAGCTGCTGGCATGTCTCTGGTAAACCATAACTAAGGTGCAGCTCCCTAAATTTGGGACAGATTTGTCCCAGGCAGTGGTGATTGAAACTGCAGCTCTGTGGTGGCATTGCGATGCTTTTCTGCCAGAGGCTAAGGGGAGCTGAACATAAAGAGCTGGCTTCTCAAAGTCTGGGGCAGGAAGAATAGGAGAGATGAACACAAACTCTGAATAAGGTATAGGACATGGAAGGGACCTTTGTGCTGAGAACAGTCTGTTTCAGCTGTTGCTTTAATTCTCTAGGGCTGCCTTCTCAAATGCTCGTATATGAGCATCTGAATCAGTGAATCAGGGATTTAATGTTTTATTGTCACTTCAAGCCGTATCCGGACTTGTTTCTTTCCCTGATCACCATAAACCTTTTGACTTCATGAGAAGCATTTCCTACATGCACTCATGTTTGTGTCAAATAGATTGTGGGCAGATTCACCTCCTTTGAACAAGGATGGGCATGGCTTTGAAAGTACTGCCAGTTGTCTATGGCTTCATGGGCCACCACGGAACTTGCTGTTACCAAGGTTTTAGTCTGGAAGCTGACCGTGCCACGAGCAAAAGAACGATGCCTGTCCACCGTTACTGCTTCTGCTGTTTAGAGCCCTGTGCCCACCTGTGGTGTCCCACCCTACTCATCTCCATAGCATAGACAAGCACTAGTATCAGTTAGCAACTGGTAACAGGGGAGGAAGTTCCTTGACTGAGAGTTCTGGGAAAGGATTGTTTAGGTGGAGCCTGAGAAGGTCTGGGCTTGGTTTCTTGCTCTGCCACAAGATTTCCTGGATGATCTGGGATTGCTGGTGTCTCTCATTTCCAGATGACATGTAATAGGGATAGAGTATCCTCCTTTTTTCTTGCCCCCTATGACTGCAGCTGCCTGAGGTTTGAGTGGAGTGAAAGTGTCCAGTGAGCAGTGTTTTGTAGTGGTTTGTTAAAAACCATTGCACCCTGCTGGAATTCACATCAAAGCCCAGTGTCCTCAACGCTGAGCACAGGCTTTCTGGTGTGATGCAGTAAAGGTGGCTGAAATGTTCTCCACGTGTGGCAGAGCCATCTGGCCAAGATGCGCAGTGCCATCAGCCAGGGGTGGGTTTGGAAGACAAGCAGCAGGCTGGATGGATGCTGTGATGATGAGTTAGGCCAGCTACATACCATGCAATGTATGGAAAGATTTTAACTTCTACCCGAGGACCAGCTCTGTCTTCTGTCCAGCTTCACAGTGTAGGAATCGGACAAGTGAGGTACTACACTCTGTGGAAATCATTGTCTTGATGACACAGAGCTTAGGCCAAGGACCCAGAAGTGTCACATCCTCAGCCAAGTTACTCTAGACAGCACAGATGAGTTGTACACTCACCAAGAGCAGCTGTTCTCCTGCAGTCAGTTTGCCAGTCTGATGGTTGGGAGAGCAGCAGGGCAGGTGAAATTATTTGGGAGAAAACATCCACATTTTCATGTGTTTGCAAAAGTAGGTTTTGTTTTCTAGAGGAGTCAGGTGGCCCTGTTCCCACACCCAACTCCACCGTGAGTGTCCCTGTGCTCTGCAGTAGTGTTCTTTGTGTCTGGAACTTTCACGAGCAGAAGTTGTTGTTTGTGTAGCAAGTCCAGTATTTCCAGGAAGCACAAGAACTGCTTGTGCACAGACAATCCAGTGCTGTCCGGACACATCAGACATGCTACAAAGTCACCCGCCAACTATGCAGAACATGGGCTGCTGGTGTGAGCAGCTCCTTTCAGCAGGCTGCGTCTCCTGCATAGGGGCCAGCAGCTCACAGTGTATGTGATGCTTCCTGGAAGCCCTGAACTTACCACGTGGAGCAGTACAGCACTGGGGATACAGAGATTAGCTTTGGCCTGGCTGCTGTGAGCCTAGAAAGGTACTCAGACAGGTGCCCAGACTCTTCAGTGTCGGCCTGGTGACATCTCCAAGCGGACAGAAAGAATGAGTCCGGTAAAGTCCATCTGGACAATAACCCTCAGCCAAGTCATTCAGAGGGGTCTCCTGTGGATTCTAGAAAGTAAGCTCTCCCAAGCAAATTTACACTTCTCGATGGGTACCTGGCCAACATAGTGCCACATGCTGTGTCATGAGATGCTGAGAGCTTTCTCTCTCAACTCTTGGAGATCCTGAGCAAGGCATTATGGAAATGCACTCACTGGTAGGTTGGTAATTGCCACTGCCAGCACAATACACTGCAGCTGGAAAGCAGGCAGCTGCTTGGCTTAAGTGCTGTTCCTAAGCCTTGTAAAGTTTGTTGCATGGGAATCCCCAGAGGGTAAGAGGGAGGGAGAAGTGGGGGCGTGTTTGCTTGGAGCAGTAATGAATATATTTTTAGTGGAAGGGACATCTCTAGTCGTGGGATAACAGCTGCAAAATTTCAAAATTCCTCTGACAAGATGTAGCCAATTCCAGGGCTGCAGGGTTTTGAGGGTTTGTTTTTTGTTTTTCCAAGCTTCAAGTGCCTTCAGCCAATCTCTTGCTCCCTGAGTGTACTTTTCAAAGCACAGATGCTGTTTTGCTGTGTTGATGAGATCTGAATGTGAGCAGCTCCCCGCTACTATCCGTACTGTGCCCTTAGCATCCCCTAAGCATTGAGCAGGATCCGCTACTTGCTGGATAAACTTTTTTGTCTCTCAGAATCAGCTGAATCTCTCCCTCATTTCTAGAAGGAGGGTTTCAGTGTATTTTGGGTACTGGGAATTGTGTGGCTGGTTCCCTCACCCACTCCCTCTTTTCCGGTTTTGAAATGCAACTGAGGAAGGGACACTCAAGCCTGCAGGGTCTTCTGTGGAGCCAGTTTTTTTCCAGGGCCCATCAGCAGGGATTTAAACCATGTGCAAGATCTCCATTCTGTACTGTGCCCGGCAAAAGCAGTCTTTCTCCTCCCCTGTCATGAACTTGCATTGGGATAGGAGCATGAACCTTTAAGAGTAACTATTTCATTGAGAGATGGAAAGAATTCTATGGCTTGCTGGATTATTTTTCTTTAATTTTTGTTTGCTGAGAGAATTCTGGGGACAGAGGGAGAAGGAGCATTGGGTAAACACTGAGAGCCCAGCACTACCATTGTGCGATCGCAGACACGTGGGGTCAAGTACAGTGTGGGATCCACACTGGACACTGTGGGAAACCAGCCATCTATGTTCCATGCTAAGCATTACCAAAGGAAGGAAGTTGCATGGAAATATTAAACTGTTGCCCTGATTGACATTTTCAGAGAGAATAACTGGTGGAGTCAGCTTGCAGTAACCTGTGAGGCCTTCGGAACTGGCCAATAATTCAAACAAACCAAGGTCTCTAGCTGCACTGTCAGATTCTCACCATGTTGCATATTGTCTCTTTCAACAGATCTTGATGAATTTACTGCTAAGAGCACTGGCTTCAACCAGGCATATCAGTACCTCCACCTCTGAAGTCCCCTTTGGTGTGTGCAGTGCAGCCCACAGCACACCTGTAGTCAGAGCACTGTCCTCAGCTTAATTCCTCCTTTCTGAGAAAAAGATGGGGTCAGCTTATCTGGGCTGATGAGGAAAATTGCTGAATTTTCTCAGTTATTTAAGGAAGATTGGTGGTGCTGGCCTTTCTGAAAGTACCGTTGTGGAGCAGAGTGAGGTGCTGTGCAAGGCAATGCCAACCTGGCTTCTGCGACTGAGTCAGCAGAATTTCCCTGGAGCACACCCGAATGTGGACATGGGGCTGTTGGCACTGTGCCTTTGAGTTCTTCTGTGCTATTTGGCTAACAGATTTACTGCAAGACAGACCTAGAAATTCCACACTACAAGGCTGTTTCTTTGCCAGAAAGGAGGAACTACCTCAGCCTTCAGCAAGAGAGCCACGGTGATTGTCTTCACCCAGGGTCAGAGTAGTGCTGTTGATTATCCAGACTGCAAGATCAATGTGCATGACCAAAGTGGGCTGGTGGGGTGAAGGAACACAGATGAAAACTGTATCAATTTCCCTGCTTTCATATCACCTCTACACTGCTTAAAGGAAAGGGGAGGGAAATAGGTGGCATACAATGTCACCATGGAGTCCTTGCTGTGCTCCATGGGTTCTGCACGGCAGTTCAGAGGCCCATCTGAAGAAACAGGTGCCTTTCTTGCTGTCTTCTGGGCCCTTGGGAAGTCTCTTGGGTGTCAGGGGCTTGTTGAGTGCTATTGATGTAATTCCCATTTCCTCTGCTTTATAGGTACAATGGCTTGGTGACTGGCTCTCGAGCTAAAGGTATCATTGCCATCTGCTGGGTATTATCTTTCATCATCGGCTTGACACCAATGCTAGGGTGGCACAATCGTTCCCAGATAGAAGAGCTGGGTTCCAATAAGTCCTCTCCCATCAACTGCAGCAACAGTATGGTGGCATGTCTCTTTGAGGCTGTGGTCACCATGGAGTACATGGTCTACTACAACTTCTTTGCCTGTGTGCTCTTGCCCCTACTCCTCATGTTTGGTATCTACTTGAAAATCTTCATGGCAGCCCGGCGACAGCTCAAGCAGATGGAGAACAAGATGGTACATGGGGAACGTTCTCGTTCCACTTTGCAGAAGGAAGTCCATGCAGCTAAGTCTTTAGCCATCATTGTTGGGTTGTTTGCAGTCTGCTGGCTCCCACTACATATTATTAACTGCTTTACCCTTTTTTGCCCGAATTGTGCCCATGCTCCACTCTGGCTGATGTATCTGGCTATTATCCTGTCTCATGCCAACTCGGTTGTAAATCCTCTTATTTATGCCTACCGAATCAGGGAGTTCCGCTACACCTTCCGTAAAATTATCAGCCAGCATATCTTGGGCCGGAAGGAGCCGTTCAAGGCAGGAACAGCCAGCTCCAGGACTTCCACTCATGGTGGGGACGCAGAGAACGCCAGCATACGAATCAGTGAGTATGCATTAGAGGTATACACCAATGGAGAGATCCACAGGGATCCTGAAAAGCAGGACTTAAACAAATGCAAAGCTGGTTTGGAATGGCACCAGAATGGAAATGCTCTGGACATGGAGACAAATGGGCATCTCCCACATTCCTGCAAAAATGGGATTCTTTCAGATGCATGCATGAACAGGGAGCTTCACAGTGAAGAGCTAATTGATACCCAGGTGGCTTACTCAGATCTGGAAAGAGCAGCCTTCGCAGCAGCTGATGTTTCCTGATGAGACTTCCAAAGTCTTCCTGGTAGAATTATTTTTTTTCCATTGGTGACCTCTGCCATGGCAGAAAGGGAAGTTGGGGGGCGGGGGGAGAGGTGTGTATGCAGATCGCTGTGGAGAAAGGGGTCCCTACCCAGGACTGTGGGGATGATCCTAAATACTAGACTGGAGAAAAGCCAAGATCCCATTGAAACGGACTGAGGAAGGAAGGACACGTTACCCATCGATGACCTGTCACCAAGATCAGTGCCAAGGTCAAAGATGGTGTTCCGAGTTCAGCACTGGGAGACTCTGCTGATGCAGGGCATATCATGACATCATGCTGTACTGTGTATCTGTGGTTGTATGTCAGTTTTGCTGTCTTTACCAACAGAAATAAAAGCATGGCTGGAAGTATTCACTGAATTGCGAAGAGCAACAGGGAAGGGGCCTTTTAGTACTTTGGCCCTGCAACAAACAGAAGGGGGATAGCAGCATCTGTTGGTCAGGAAGGATGCCAGCAACTGCTTGGAGAGGGAAGGAAATTACCTGATGGGAACTTTGAATACCTTCAACCATGGCATTTTGTCTTTCAGTTCATGTTTTTAAAGCTTATAGTGCAACAGGTTGCTCAAATGATTTTTCTTCTTGTCTTGATAAGATTACTTTATGTTAAGTTATAAAAGATGGGCAAGAATTCATATCCATTCCCTGAGCACTCAATGTTGTCAATGCACAAGGCAAATATAACCTCATAGCTCTCCACTTCATCTAACAAATAATGAAAACAGAGTCTGTAATATGGATTTCCCTTAGCAAAAGGGCTGTTAGCAGGACTTGGTGCTGCACATAGTAGACAAGCAGGCCAGGTTGTGGTCTGTCACTTGGGTGGTCATGCCCTAAGGTGCTGTGAAGAGCTATTGGGTGTGTGAGCTGTCTGTAGGCTGATGGGCAATGTCTGCTTTTCCCCCTGCCTCTGTGCTTGTCCTCCTGAGCTCCTAGAATGCAAATTCTTTCCATGGCCCCAAATATGTGTGGGGGGAGCTAATTTTCCATATTTTGGTCGTTTTCATCCTTACTCAAAGGGCTGTGGGATTATTTTCTTCTTTCTTGGGGTAGGGAGGAACACACACACATACCTAACGCTTATTTTTGGAATTTATTATTTAAACACCTCTTCTCCTATGACTTTCTTATGTGACTTCAGTTTTTTTCCTGATGTGCTTTACTGTGAAGCTTGAAGTGTCCCTGCAGTGCAGAGTCCAACAGAGCTGGGTCTGTCTGGTTAGAAGATGCTCCTATTCTGAGAAGCTGAGAGGCGTCAGTAGTGGAAATCATCTTAGAAACTGCAGTCATCTGTGTAAGGGAAAAGGCAGATCTGTGCTGCAGCAAGTGTATGCACTGATGTGGTTTGTTGTAGAGGTGTAGAGCAGTTTGATAATTTTCTGTATCACTTACGAAGCCTGGTAGCTCAAGGACAGCAGAATGCCACGTCAGGTTGAATTCTACCTAAAGATTATCTGGTTTTTGTTTTCCAGACAAATAATCCCTGTCCAATACCACCAGCCTTCTGGAGAGACAGGCAGTAACAGTTCTACTGGAAAACTAAAAGTCTGGTAATTTCAGGGATCTGAAGCTTATTCCCTAGCTGAAAACATCAGAAATACCATCCCCCAAAGCTGGCTCATCCTCATGTCTGTCCACTAACATTTCAGAAGCCAAATAATCTAATTTTCAGAAAGGAAAGGGGAGCTGGATTTTGATATTTGAAGAAGAGCAGGTTAGATTTGTGTGTTCTTATTCCATGTTTATTTTAAATATTGTGAACTATTAAAATGAAAAGTCAGTTTTATTTGAGGAGAATTTTCTTTTTGCCAGTCTCTCTACACAAAGGTAGGGAGGAGTTTATAATGCTGAACGTGTTCAAGTATGTAACTGCTCCAGGCTAGTACAAGGTTTACTGTGAGATGGATAGAAAGATGTGGTTGCCACCACGGTCCTTAGCAGAAAGGCAGGCAAGTTTGTAGAACAATAGACCTCACAGTTTAATTGAATTACTGCTTTCTTGGCACAGCTCTTCCACATAGTCTAACATCAGAGGAGTGGATTATCACTCCAGCACCATTAACAAACTCTAAGCCATTTCCCTGTGACTGACGTTGCAGGTAGTTCCTCTGTAGGGTGGCTTGGGATCTTTTTATTCTTAATCTTTCTTGATGGAATATTTCTGGAGATTATTTGTGGGGTGGCTCCTCTATAGATTATTTGTGGGAGGGACCTCCTGTAGCAGTGGCAGAGGAACTCAGGCAGGAAAATGGGGATCTGATCTCCTCAGGCCTCAGTTGGGAGCTGAAATGTTTCTAAGAATAACACAAGATTACATCCGGTATTCATGTCAATAACAATTAGGTCCACAAAGAAGCAGAGCAGGGAAGGAAGTGTGGGAAAATACCAGCATCTCTCATGAGCTGGAACACACACGAGTGCAGAAGTGTCTCCTATTGAGCTTTAGCTGCCATTGTAAAGGGATGTTTTATGCCACATTGCATCAGACTTTCAACAGCTGATGTGGGTTGGTTGCTTTCTATTGTTTCCTGAGCTTCTTCGCACTCAATTATGGCAGCTTCTTGCTTGGTTGCCACAAGAATCAAGTTGATCTATGTTGATGCAACAGACTTAGGATTGTCCCTCTGGAAAAATTTCCTGCCCAACCAGATCACCATGCAAGCTTACTGAGTTTCCAGATGTCTTGAAATTAGCTTTTCTGTTGCTGTTTGAGATGCCCCCCAAGTGTGTCCAGTCCCTTTCAACATTAGTGATCCAGATTTGAAATGAAAAGGGTGTGTGAAGGGGCCAGGGGATGTGTGCAGGAGGAAGTGCACTGTGGGTAAGGAGGCAGTGTGTTTTTTATAGAACTGGAAGTCTGTAGTCACAGGAAGGAAGGGATGGCAATTGCACCACATGCTGTGTGCCTTCTGGCAAACATATGTCTGAGATGGACCTTCAGAAGATGTTTCTGAAGTAGTTGTTTGGGGAGCATGAGCCTTTTGAACAGAGTTTTGGATTTCTTATTTATTGTTTCCTAGGGATCATCATTTCAAGGCTTGCTTTTTTTTAAAAAAAAAAAAAAAAAAGGAGCTGTAGGGTCCCATCAATGAAGTGTCCTCTTTCTTTCTCCTGGCAGCGCTCTCCACTCTTGAGAAAAGTACCTGTCTTCCAAACTTGCATAGGGCAGGAGTCATTAGAAAAATGAAAGTTTAATAACTGTTTCCTAACATCCCCACTCATATCCCCATTTTCTTTCCAGCTGGAGAATGTTTAGCTGATGAAATATAGCTGTTCTGGATAAACAAAGATGGTACCAAGACAAAGGGAAGAATTAGGTAACCATCAGGAGAGGCTGGAAAAGACTTCCTTGGAAATCCAAGGTACAGTGGGTCCAGAGAGGGAGAGCTGGAGTAAGAAAAAACTATTTTCACTCTACTGGAACGTCTTACTAAAAATGGCTGGGGACCCATAGTGAGATGTGGTGCCTCTCTTGGTGTGAGGGCATTCCATGAATTTCACCATTCCCTGAAGACTCAGGCTCCAGGGTTTATTTGTTTTATAGGGTTTTGGAGAAAGTAAGGTTTGATCAGTTGCCAGGAATAATTTTATCAAGAGTTCTTCTTGGGGCCCTCTCCTCAATAGGGCGCTGCTTTTTGCATGTGCAAATAAATGCACTTACAGCTTTGTCCTGCAGAGTTTGTTTTGGATCGGTAATATTTCAAAGCCCTGTGCAAGCTTGAGTTGCAGCTCTTGAACAGAGAAGCAGTTTGGCGTGGTGGAACAGCTGGGGTTACTGGAGACAGAAAGGTTTGCCACTGGTCCCAGTTGGTGCTAGGAAGCTTATTGTGCAGATGGACTTGAGAGTTATATGGAATAGTCTGAATCTTTGATCGTTCATTGAAAAGAGGCTCCAGGGGATACTGCTGGATATAGAAAAGTCTCTTAGGTGGGGGAGCAGACTGGAGGGTTAGGGTTAAGGGGAAATCTTGGTGCTGAAGGAAGATTTGTAAGGTAGGTGTTTGGGAGGATTTCAGGGAGCAGGAATGTGCTGGGAGGTGCTGGGGCTTGCACAGCTGGTCTCAGGGGAGCCGTGCTGGCATGAGACCAAGGTGTGACTTGCTGAGGAAGGGCTCTGGAAAGGATGTACATTTTGCTGCTCTCCTGGGGTCACTGAAAATGAGCAACCTTGTCTGATGTGTGTGGAGAGTTGACTTCATATGGTCTGTATGTGAGAGGTGGTTCTTATGGATTATCTTTTCAGATGCATTGCCTTGTCTCGTGAGTGTGTCCAGGTGTAACAAAAAGCCCTTCTGCTTCATGAACATGAGCCCTACCTAAAACCAAATCAATCCAGCCATGTTCTGTGGGAAGGACGAGCATGCTATAACAGTGCTGCAATGCATTTAAACTGTAGAATACTCTCTAGTGGTGTTTGCTAAGTTTAGCTGCCTAATAACTGGACTGAGTCATACCAGAGAGTTTTTTCTTTCTAGCCCTGAGCTTTTGGCCTCCTTTACAGTAAGACACATCAAGAGTAACTAAAATCACACCAGTTCCTCATCTGCCTGAGAGGTGACTAACCCTGACAGACTAAGAATCCCCAGACTGGGGCAGTGTTGTGTGTAACTCCCCATCTTATTTGTCTGCTGGGACTGTTCACACAAGAATGTGTTAAAATCAAGACTGGAACCTGTTGATCCAAGAACATCCTTTGCTTCCCCCACTCTTTCTCAGGAGCTGGTGTTCCTGCCCCCTGTCCTATGGAGTGGTTGTCTCTGTGGTCTGCAAACCAAGACACTATGAACACCCTGCTGCACACGCTGTCACTATAAAACAATTACTCTTTTAATTTAAATGTTTTATGAATATAGTTGTTGTTTTCCCTCTGTTTGTCAGTTACCAGTGGGAGGGGAGGGAAGGGGGTGGGAGAACCTGTGCATGCAAATGTATTTAAAGTGCATTGACCAAAGGTTTTTTTGAATCTGTGAAGTTTTCATATCTGTGAAGTCATCAGACTGCTGGGCAGTGAGGAGCCGCTGGTGCTGCTGAGTCTGTCTTGGTTACATTTCTTAATAAGCATTAAAATAATAAAATATATTTGTAAAAGAGAGTGTGAGTGCCTTTGTCCCAGGAAGATCCGGCTGGCTGGCTCTGTTTTGTGCAAGTGTTTTCTTATTATTTTATTAGCTTTTTCCACAGATTGATCCTTCCGGAGAGCTCTCTCCCTGGTGCTGCCTATTCTTTTGCAGAAGATATTAGTATGGACTAAGGTGACAGACTCAGATGGACCAGAAGACTCCTCACATCTCTGACGTCCTGGGATTTGTCATCTTGAAAAAAGAGAAAATGTTTACAGCTGTGTATTGAGCACAAGGTAGAGCACTGTATTTGCCCAAACTGCTGCAGTGCCAGGCACGGTGTGTCGCATAGCAGGACCTGGAGGGCCCATAACTGGCCCATGGAACAACTTTGCAGCTGTGACTGGAGCATCCCAGCCTGCTGGCTCTCCTTCCACACAGCCCTGCTGGTGCACCTCAGACCTCCTTGTAAGAACATCACAATTTCAGACTTCTGTCCTGTTCTGCCAATGCCACTAAGGCTGAGCCAGCCCTGGCGTGATGTCAGCCAAATTAGTCTGGAAATTGAGGTAATGAATCTAGATGCTGCTGTGATGCCTCTCAAGCCAATTCTGAGCAATGCTGACAGAATGAAGCAGGAATAATTTCCAGCTATTTTCAGCCAGCAGCTACTAACTATGTGTGTGAGGTTAGTGAAAGTCTGTACAATCCAGGAGCATTTGGAATTGGAAAGTGATAAAATCAAAGTTCACCAGATAACTGTCAACTACTGGTCATTCTCTCTTTTGGTTCATTTTGCAGCTGAGCCAGAGGCCTCACTGGAGGCCCCAGTTTGTGGAGAGGTGCTGGCACGCCGGTGCTCTGCAGCCAGCTGTGCCTGAGCTGTTCAACCAACTGTGTAATTGAAAAGTGGTTTTGATTTTTCCCTCCCTTCACAAACACTGTGCATTTTGTTCTGCAGCATCAAAGGCTGGGAGCTCAGAGGAACAATGGGCAACTGCAGGAGCCCAGGGGGAACAATGGCCGTACCTGGCCCGGGGAAGAAAGCAAGTACTTGAAAGAACAGAGAGAGCTCCCAATTTAACAACACAATTGGGCTGATCTGGAAATCTCTGCTCAGAGATCCACACCTTGGCTTAGTCACCCAGAAAAACTAGACTTTGCAGGGCTTTTGCTGTAGACCAAGAGCTGTCTGAGGATAATATAGCTCAATAGTGTAATATTTACTGCAGCACTGGGGAACTGATGACATTTGTTAATTGTGAAGTAGAATGGGGCTGTGGAGGACACTGTTTTTCCTACTAATGGGTGGATAATGTTTTTGGCTAAAAAGCTTGTCACAGCATTTAAAGCAGCAGGATCCTACTTGTCGCTTTTGCCCCCAAACAGGAAGCCTTTGCTGCTAAGAATAGTACATACAAGTGCCTGCTGTGCTCTTGACCATCGTGTTTCAAGGAGAAGTTTCAGGGAGTTAAAAGCTCTGAGCACCTTTCCTGAGGCCCAGTGGACCTCACAATTTACTTTTGCAGGAAAGATTCCCACTGCCATGCGCTTGACTGAAGTGACCAAGCGAGGAGTGAGATTCCCATGTGTTCATTCAGGGGAGGGAGAGAGACTTCTGCCAGCTCGGAGTGATCCTGGGAGGAATCCACCTCTGATCCTGCAGATAAGCACCTCAGGTTAGATGATGTGATTCACTGCAGGTTGGAGTCTCACTGAATCCTAGGTGGAGCTGTATTCCTCCCTGACTTCCCAATCTTCTCGTCAGAGAAGAAACGGGAGCACTTCTGAATGTTGGAGATGTTTCCTCAGAAATGTCCCAGTGGATGAGACTTGGAAGGTTTCTGGCTGTAAGATGCACCACTCTTACAAGCACTATTTCTCTGCTGTGTGACTGCAGTAGTCCTGCAGAGTAACAGGAAAGTACTACCCAGATCTCAAAAAATCAGAAATTAATTTCAAGAATTTGAGTCCTTGCAACACATCAAAGAAAATGATCTAAGCTGAGTTTTGGTCTGAAAGTTGCATGGTGATTTTTCAGCAAGTGAAAGGCAAGGACTGGGAAAAGAGCTTTCAATCTGAAAGTTCAGAATAAACTGTGTAAAGATGAGGTTATTTGGAGTGCAGATCCATACTGTGTGGTCTGACCCTGTTGCACTGAACTCCAAACCTGGGACTGTGGTTTTTGGGAGTGTTCAGCTGCAATCCAGAGAGGTGACTGCAACTTCTACAGAGCCCAGGGCACTATTTAAACCTGCTAGCTTGGACACTGACAGCACTGGAGCTGCAACCACTCAGGCTCTGTTTGCCAAGGATTTACCCAGAGCCCTAGGCAGCTCTGAGTTTTTGCCTAACCTAAGGCAAGGAGATTAGATAACAGCTCATAATGACAGTGAAAAAAATCCATGTGCATGGGGTATCTTGCTGCCTCAGCTGTTGATGAGGTCATGGGGATGTCTTTTGGGCTGGTATTAGGCCAGGATATTACTTTGAAATGGGAGTTAAGCATATCTCAGTTGGATACTTCATGTTGCTGGAGAACTTGCAGCTGCATCATTTGGGCATTTGGCTTCATCTGGGCTGTGAAAGTTTGTGCCTGTGCTTTGCTGTTCCCAGGTATGCAAGGCTCTTGTGCAGTGTGGTGATTGCATCCAGGAAAGAAAAAAAAAATAAAAATGCCCTAATAAAGAGAATTGAGCAGCCTGGATCAGTTCTACAAAGAATACAAAACAAGCCTGGGCCATCTCAGGGTAAGCTGCACTCATGGTGCCTCTTGAACCCATGTCCTGTTATTGTTGGTGTGGAACGTGAGGGTCTGGGCCAATGAAAATAAGGAAGGTGGCTTGACAGACACAGATTTTATCTTTTGAGATTCGTCATGACCTTTCTAGTGTATAATAAATAAAGTTGACTCAGGAATTGGCAAGTGCCCTATAACACGCAGTCCTGGTGTTGGGACTCGGCAGAATGTTCTGCTTAGCAATGCACTCTGTTAGCTTTGTTTGCCAAGTTCCTATTCTGGAGGTGTGCTGAAGGGCTGAACAGTGGCAGATGCTGAAGCCTTCGGCAGGGCAGGTGCACTGGACCCAGCATCTCTGGCCATGCTGATCCAGGCTGGATGAAGGTCATTCTGAATCCGTGCTTATATAACCTTTTACCACTCTGCTGTGAAAAGGAAATAAATGTCTTGCAAAGGAAGAATGCTGCTTGCAGTGGTGTGAATCTTGGGCCAAAGAGGACTCCCATCCTTTTACATTACTGTATAACCCATAAAGCATTTAAGTCGGCATTGAACAGTATTGCTTCCTGTATTAATGTCTTTTGAGCAGCCCTGCCATGCACACTGGATCCTGTGATATTAAACAATTCCATCATCCAGAGGATGTGGCCAATTTTGGAGGTGACAGGAATGGTAGCTCTGAGACCAGCCTGCTGCTGAGCGAATCCCTGCCATACCATCTCCTCTGTCAACCATGAGCAACCACAGTCAGGTTTTCTGAGCTAGCCCTGGTGGCAGGGGCTCCTTTGCAGACAACCAAGAATCATGTGCTGCTAGACTGAAGCTGTTCTGTGACGGTAACACATCAGATTGTGAAGTTATTCCACGGAGCCAAAAGATATAGGGGAGAAGAGGGCTAATGTTTGCATTCCCAGTCTCAAAGAGGCTACAGGGCGAGAGCTGCAGTTAATTCACGAAGGCAGAGTCTCAAGAGGAGAGCACCCAGCACTGGCACTGGGGTGCTGGGCTACATGAGCACTCAGCACCTTCAAGTAAAGGACAACTGGCTGCCTCATTTCTGAGGTGCCTGCCATTTGGGAGCAGTCCAGTATTCCAAGTGTTTCCTGCCTTTCTTTATATTCATGCCAAAAGCACTAACAGAATAGGGTGGAGACAAAAAATCTTAGACCCTCCTCAAGATCCTCCTCTAATTCCAGAAGGATCAAAATGCTAAAGGTTGTATTAGAAAAACAGAAATAGTCTTTTCTCCCACCATTGGTAACTCAATGCCACAACTAAAGCTGAGAGTCAGCTGCTTGTTCTACAGCTGTGTCCTTTCTGAATTCATGAGAAATAGCATTTTGATTTCCTTCCAGAGGAAATATACAGTAATATCCCCAACTTCCACTGAGGCCTTCCAGTCCGCAGAACTAACCCATGTAACATTTATCTGCAACTAAATTAAACCCAAGCTCCTCTATTCCTTATGGATTGAACCAAAGCTTGGGAATCAAGGCTTTTAATCAGAAACCTTTATAGCTTGTTTACTCTGAGCACTTGCTTCCCATGCAAGTTCCTTCCCATCCTAAATTCTACATTTGCACATGATCCCTCCTTTCCTGCCCTATGCCAGGCCTGGAAAGCACAAGAAGTTTATCCAACATGCAGGGGCTGTCTGTCCCTTTCCGTGGTTCAGTAATACCTGGACTTTCAAAAGAGTTGTAGCAAGTACATTCCTGTAGATTTTCACTGTGGGGCTGGAGGGAGGGATGTGTTCTCTGTATGCTAACAGCAATCCTGATTCCCTGAAGGAGGATCTTTCAGCATTTGATTAGGAAGCACTATGTGGGACACACGATCCTCCCAGGGAGAGGTTAATGCTTTCTTCCCGTCAAAAGCATTGAGGCTGCATCCTGGGGTCAGGATGTCAGTGACATGTAGATGACACCAAATGCTGAAGCCAGAGTGTCAATCACGTCTTGGAAGAGGCTGTGCTCTGTCTGCTGCACAGACACGTCCGCTCTCTCTGAAGGCAGGTCCTTGTGCATGTAGCCATGATTTTGGTGTCTTCCATGTGGCTGTGTTCTCTCTACACCGG